ATTGAATAAATGCATTGAACACAACTTATAAACTGTTGGTAAGATATTAGCTTATTTTTAACACTTACTTACATGTTGGTTTTAGTATTCACAAACATTTTTGAATATAATTTCAGAGATGGCTGTTATGCCTGAGATTGCCAAGGCAGTGGAGGAGATGGATTGGAGGTAATCACTATGCTTGGCACCTAATGGTAGTAGACCACTGCCAAATCTTTCCATTTGCACAGGGTAGTTCCCTGTATTGATGAATTGTTATGTTTCCAGTATTGATATTTTTAAGTCCTTAATTTTTTTTAAAATGTCATTTTTGAATATTCCCAATTTTTAGAACAATTCACCCACCCATATACTTACTCACCCATTCACTTGCTTACCTACCCACCCAACAACTCACTCACCCACTTGTATAATTAAATATTCACTCACTCACTTGCCCCTAATCAACCTATTTTTTACCCATCAACCCACCCAGCCACTTTCTCATTCACTCACTCACTGACCTGTCCTTGTTTTCCAGTCTTCCAACAGATGTCCAAGCTGAGGCTATCCCACTAATTCTTGGCGGAGGAGACGTCCTGATGGCTGCTGAGACTGGCAGTGGAAAAACTGGGGTAAAGTTTACTCATTTGGAATGAACTACCAATTTTGTTAGAGAATTCTTACACAATCTATATGATTTTGATGATGGATTTTGAAATGTGTTGTTTTATGGTTAATAACTAAATGCCTCATGGATTGATGCTCATGTTACTGTTATATTGGCCACTTTGTAATTTCATATATTGATCTTATATATTGATGATTAGAGAGAAAAGTGAGATAGCTTTGTAAATATATAGGATAGTATTGTTTATGTTAAGAGATTTTAGGTTAATTTAGATACCAGTAATTTTAATTTATTTGAATAATATTATATAAGTATTAAAATACTTATAAAATATTTTCAAGGATTTCACATGTTTTATTATGTCAAAACTAATAAAAATATCTAGTATGTTATTTGCTTTATTAGGCATTTAGTCTTCCAATCATCCAAATTGTGTATGAGACACTGAAAGATATAAAAGAAGGGAAGGGAGCAAAGGCAGGGGCTGGAAAAGCTGCAGGTGGGTTTGAATTGGATTTTTTGTGAGTATAAAAAAGTGATCGTTCCAAAGAATCTTGTGGTTCGTGCATAATATATTTTCCCCATTTGTAATATTTTTCCAACTTCTTACACCAAATGTGAAAGCAAAAAGAAACTACGGNTTTAAATCGTTCGTATAGATTGGAGAATTACCGTATTTCACCTCTTCAGTCTTGTGAACTAAAATGGTATAAAAACTTTAAAAAAGTTGTTCAAGATCAAATGCTATTCATGAGGGAAATTGTATAATGGACCAGATCCTAAAATGGGTATTACTGAGTGAAGGTTTAAGGAAGAATTCACAACCGGTTGATCGGCGGATCAAATATGACATGACCCACTTGAAAGCATGTGCCAAGATTTACCTGGTAATTGCTCTGCCCCTGCACGTCATATTTGATCCACAGACTAGTAAGTCTTCGGAATCAGCTGGTTGTGAGTGCTTCGTAAGCCAACGCATGATATTTTGAGGTCTTTATTGTTCTTGCTTATTAATATCACCTTGTCTGTTGTGTTTAGTCTACTATTGTAAACAAGGCTAAGATTTATGAAACATTCAAACATTAGCTTATTTGTTATTTAAGAAATGTGTCTAGGCTATATTTTGAGATATGCTGCAAGTTATTAGTGTATCTTACTTGAAGGTTGTATTTTTAAATCTTATATCTTAAATCTTATGAAAATCTTGTACTTTTCTGCCCTTGCAGTTGCAGGAAGTACAAAATGGGGTATGAATGTATTTGACAGAGGAGAGGCCATGGGTAAGGTTTTGATTTTAAAATTGTAGAGGGCGGTAGTATTTCTAAATACAATCCCATTAGATACTAAAATGTTTTTCCTTAATAAATGTGTGTGTTTGTGTGTAAATTAAAGAAATCACAAGCCTTTGCAAAGGGCAATCAATTTTGATTACTGATATTTATTTATTGATATTTATTTATTTATTTAATGTATCGCCACCAAATTGTAATCAATTTTAAGTCAGTCCAATTCTGACCTATACCAAAAAATTCATCAAAATCCACCCATAACTTTTTGAGTTAGGTGGTCAACTAACAAACCAACAAAGGCAAGAACAATTTCCTTGGTGGAGGTATTTGTAATTAAATTAGAATGTAATTATACTGAGACTGACAAGCGCCATTTCTGTTTTTTTCTCAGCCATTAATCCTGAAGGATTACTCTGTCAGAGCAGAGATCAGCGTGGGTGGCATGGCTGCCGTAGCAACAAGGGACTGCATGGAAAAGGTACATGCTCAGAGGCAGATCCAGAGATGTTTTCTGACAGTCATCCAAATTATCTTTGTTGATCCTTCCTCCCTGTTTGACTGTCTTCTGACAGAGAAAAATTAGATACCCGTCAGTGTAAATTAAAAAATCTGACCGTCTTTAGAGATCTAGATGTTTTCTGACAGTCCTCCAAAGTATCTTTGTTGATCCATCCTCCATTTTTAAAGATACCCATCAAAGAAGACTTAAAAATCTGGAAGTCCCAGAAGACGGCCTCAATCCACCCCTGCATGCTCTTAGTAAAAGGCCTTGATATAATTTTTAAGATGGGTCTCTTTTTGTTTGCATTAAAATGTTGAGATGCCAGTATGTGGTAGTTTGTTTGGCAGTGCTATGTGTTATATTTGAATTACATGCATCATCTTATATGTTTTCACTCTTGCTTTTGGGAGGAGATTTAATTCACAATAAAAATTAGAAAGTTATGGAAAAGTGTAAAAGAGGTGTAGAATTCATAGGCTCTGTTATGTATCTCGGTATAGAAGTTTCAGTTCCATTTTACTGAAAAAGGTTTTTCAGAACCTCCAGAAACAAATGAGAATTCACATATCATTATTAGTTATTTTCATGTTGTACAGAATATTTTCATTTAACATTTCTGTTGATGTTCTTATGATTATATTATAATTGTACAATGCAGCTTTGTTATTATTATTTTTGTCATTCTTCTTCTTCCATTTATTATAGGAAAATATTACTATGAAATGAAAGTCACAGATGAGGGCCTATGTAGGATAGGCTGGGCCACAGAGAAGGCCACACTGGATTTGGGCACCGACAACCAGAGTTTTGGGTTTGGTGGAACTGGGAAGAAATCTCATGGAAGACAGTTTGATAATTATGGAGAGGTATGTTTGGTGGAGGTCAAGTACTTAAGCAGTAATGGTGAGGTGCAGGCATGGAAGTGTGCCTTAGAATTTTTTTTTACATTTGTATGGATGATCTTCATAAAAGGCATGGAATATTATTTTGCTTTATGATTTTTTTAAA